AGTGATATCAATATGACCATTACGACAAGAACGATGAAGACATGTCATACCATACTTATCAATGATGTTAGGATCACTGTTATGATTATTAATAAGATATTTAACAGAATTAATACTACCTGACCGGCAGGAGTAGACTAATGGTGTATAACCATCAGTATCAGTATCATTAGCATTGAGATTATACTGAGATATGATATAGCTTAATGCACTAGTAGAACCTGACCAGGCAGCATAATGTACTGGAGACATACCATCATTAGTTAATGTACAATTGATATTATATTCTTCTAATGCTTTTACTAGTAATGTACTGCCACTGTCTGATGCCCAATGAAGTAATGACCGACCATCATTTGTAGTGGCATTGATGTCAAAGTTAGGGCAAGTGCTAGCTTTCTTGAGAAGTGAAGAAAACATTTTAACTCTTTCATTTTGTTTGATGAAATCAATATTTGTTTTTATTCTAGTTCTATTAATAATCTCAATAACTGGTGCGTCACTTTGTGCCATAAGCTTACTATACACAATACCAGCTGGAAATTGTATACCTGCATCACATGCATAATGTAAACATGACCTACCATTATTATCATTCACTAATAATGCTTCATTACCTTGAATACTAACAATATACTCAACAACTGATGATGAAGCAAACCATGAAGCAATATGAAGTGGAGTCCTACTTGCATATCGATCCTTTACATCAATAGATAATTGATATCGATTTAAAAGATACTTAAAAAGCTCAACATTATTACTCATAGAGGAGTAATACATTATGCCAGATCCATAAATATCAGTGGAATCTGGTGAGAAGAGGTTTAATGATTCAAGCTTGTGGACTAATGCTAACTCTCCACTTTGACAAGCTAACAATGATAAAGAAGCACTAACACAATTAATCTGAGAAGTATTACAATTTCTCTCAATAAAGAATTCCACTAGGTCAGAATGGCCCCCCATTGCTGAGTACAGTAATGCAGTGTTATTGCTATTGTCTGGTTGATCAGGAGGAACGTCACACGTGTCTACTAGATATTGTACTATAGATAAGTGGCCTTTATAAGATGCCATATGTATACTAGATACACTATTATCATCACCTTCATTAGGATCAATACCATATTGATGGATGAGTAGTTGAAGGATCTCAATGTGTCCACCATATGATGCAGAGTGTAATGGAGTCCAACCATGAAGACCACGATGATATGTGCTGTGATCAAACTTGTCAAGAAGCCATTGTACTTCATCTTTTAATCCTCTCCAAGCTGCTTCATGTAATGGTGTACTGGTATTCTCATACCATAACGGATCACATATATCTATAAATGAAGAATATTATTAGTAATACAAGTTATGTATGCAGGGCCGTAGCCAGGAACTTG